TAGTGTTGTCATAACTGCATATAGATACATGAATAAATACATATGGGACATATTATTACATAATGATATTTACATACACATTCATAACACCTCTGGTCATGTTGTGTTGGTTTTCTAAGTGAAAATATGTGAACACATCCTCTACAGGGAACGCGCTTTTATATCTCAGTGCACAGTTTCTGTTTATGTGAGTTCAACATGTTGGAAAAGGAAACGAAACAGTAAAATGTAAAGTGTGCCATAACATTTTATGTTTTTTATTTTTCCCCAGATATGATCATTCAGCAAATAAACGGTAATTGTGCATTAAAATAGCGGACGTGTTGACTTATTTTTACTTAAAATAATCAAAATGTTGAATTTGACCAGGGGTGGCCAAACATTTAGCGCTGTATATAAAGTGTATGAATGTGGCTTACAGATATGAATACTTATTATTACATATAGATACTTACATTACATAAGGAACTTTCATATCTATCTGTCTGTCTATATATATATATATACATATGTATATATATAAGAAAACCAAAAACTAAACATTGAATTTGACTGGTGTGGCCAAACGTTTAGCACTGTATAGAAACTGTATGGGACATACTGTTACAGAGTGTGGCATATATGAATACTTATTATTACATATAGATACTTACATATATAGTACATTAAGAACTTTTGTATCTATCTATCTATATATACATATATGTGTGTGTGTGTGTGTGTGTGTGTGTGTATATATATATATATATATATATATATATATATATATATATATATATATATATATATACAAACACACTTATATCGTTGTTGTCTGAAGAAAACCTTGTATCTCTGAAATGGTAACTTTACAGGAGAAAGAAAAAACATACTCTACTTTTAATGTAAGTCAATGGAACCAGAATTTTTCCCAAGTAGTTTTCGGTCACTTCTGTTGGTCAATTCATCGTGAAATTTACACATGATGTAAAGGCTAACGAGTACTTTGAAATTGTGTCTAAAACTGAAAAACAACAGCAGCTATATATATATATATATATATATGTGTGTGTGTGTGTGGGGCATATTAGCATTACATGAACATACTTTGCAGTATATGTAATACATATGGGACTAGTTACACACACATACATATACAGGACATTTTATTACTGCATATACATATTTACGTGTATGTATGTATGAGAAAACCGTATGCGTGACTGTGTGAGTGCATTGTCTTTCCCATTTGTTGTGAACAGACACAGGAAATGAGAGGGACATCTGTTTCCTGTCTCTGGGACGAGGGGCTCAGGGAGAGAGAGGAACGAGGAGAGATAGTGAGAGCGAGAGAGATGAGAATAGAGGAAGGCTTGAGAGTGACATCTTTGAGATGTTTGTGGTCAGAGGTGGACGGGGCAGCGCTGAGAGAGCCCTCTGTAGCCTGCAGTGCGGTCAGCTCAGACTGCAGGCTGTTGTTTCTGTATCGGCTCGCTCTGCTCACGAGGAACGGATCCATCATTAAACCTTAGAACTGAAAGAAGTAGAAAATGAAGGCGTTCAGCTCCTGATAGCGTCTCAGTCTGATGCTCAGCTTCGTGTGCTGCTGTATTCCTTCTTTCTTAGGCGTGCGGTCAGACAGTGGCCACTCGTTTTGATGAACGCTGGTCTTTCTGAGCTCCGGGTCATTCTGTTTAACCCTTAATTACATGCACTTAACGATGGAGTTCATTAACCCGTCAGCCTTGTGTGCGCTGTGCATTTACACTGGTCGATACCAGCGGCCCTCTCTGTCTCCATCAGCCTGACCGGTCATCAGACCCGTCCTCAACTCCAGCTTTTAGGTACAGACAAGAAACTTGTAAATCTGTGAACTCAGAATGATTCGGTTCAATTAGGAAGTGGTTCAGTGAACTATCGATTCATTTCATCACGATTTGATTCTGTTTAATTTAAAGAAAAATACTTTAAATACACAAATATACCTGGAGATGCTGTTTACACTGCAGCACTCAGAAGACCAGAACATGTAAAAAATACACTCTTAAAGCTCTTCAAGGGTTCTTTAGTAAAGGAAAAGTTCTATATAGAACCTCTTGCATGCTTATATGGTTCTTTGCAGGGTGAAATGGTTCTATATAGCACCAAAAAGGATTCTTCCATTGTTACTACACTTAAAAAAGAGGTTGTTCTTCTTTAGTAAAGAAAATGGTTCTATTTAGATCCATGAACACTTCAAGCACCCTTTTTAAAGAGTTCTTTACGTCATGAAAGGGTTCTCCAGATTGATGTAGAATGTGTTGTAGATGGTCCTATATAGAGCCTTTTTGAAAAGGGTTCTATATAGGGCCACGAAGGGTTCTTCTACTGTAATAAGCTTGACACTGTAACAATAGCAGAACCCTTTTTGGTACTCTATAGAGCCCTTCTCCATCAATCAGAAGAACCCTTTCATGATGCAAAGAACTCTTAGTTATGCAAAGAGTTCTTTGTGAGTTCTAGGTAGAACCATTATCTTTACTAAAGAACCCTTGAGGAACCATCTTTATTAAGAGTGTAGCTTGACATCATAGCAACAGAAGAGCCCTTTTTAGTGCTATATAGAACCTTTTTCAAAAAAGGTCTATGTAGAACTCTAAATAGAGCCATTCCCTTTACTAAAGAACCCTTAAATAACCATATTTTTTTAAGAATTTAGGCCTGTGTGACACAACTGATGACCGTAATTAGCCAAATCAATTTTTCCCCCATATTAATAAGATAGATTTGAGGTTTACATTGTGTGTAAATTTCATGATGAATGGACCAAAAGAAACGACCCAAAATGGCTTAGTAAAGTCTGGTTCCATTGACTTACATTAAAAGTAAAGTATGTTTTTTCCTTCTCCTGTAAAGTTACCATTTTGGAGATACGAGGTTTTGATCCAACAACAGTGACATATATGTACATATGTATATGTACACACACATGTTGCGCCGTATTGCCCAGCCTTAACATAAAGGCTTTATTATCTCCGAGTTGCAGAGTAAAGCCTGTGTGAAGGCTGACCTGCAGTCCACCTCTGTGCTCACTGTGCCAGTTAGCACGTTAGCATTGCTCTGTACTGAGCAGTAAAGCCCTGCGGCGGTGGAGAGACACAGATCCAGGCTGGGTGTGACTCTGAACCAGATCCAGGCTGACTGAGCTCTGATGCGGCTCTCATCCCCTCAGTAACACCCTGTTTAAATACACTCCTGGATACTGGATTGCTTTGTTGTGTGTTTATTTATCTGTAAGTATTTGTTTACTGTTTTCTTCCCAGATTCCAGAGCAAGAGTAATAATCACCCGCGCTGTTGCCGTCTACTGTATATGCCGTTATAATAATCCATTGTCTCTGTTATTAAGTTATTTGTTTCGCGTGTCGGAGCGTAAGGCGACTGTCCCATGGAATGGCAATTCAAGGGACAAAGGATTCCGAAATTATATGCCAGTTCCACAGCCGTTCTGTGGAAATTCAAAGTATTTGGAATGTATTTGCTATTTCTAAGGTCAGTTTTCCAGTTGTTTTGAAATTTAATGGATAGTGAAGAATTCCGAATTTATATGCCAGTGCCCGAAGTCAAATTCCATTATATGGAAATTGAATGTAAAAACTATTCAGGAATTCCCATGGAAGTGCCAAAGACAAACGTCCGCCATATGGATAACTTAACGGATAATATAATATCCTGAGTTTATAGGTCAGTGCCGAAGACAGACTTCCATTTTATGGAAGTTTATTGGAGAAAATAATCAGGAATTCATACTCTAGTGCCAAAGACAAATTTCCACCATACGGATCATTTTATGGATAATACAGTGTTCTGTATTTATATGCTAGTGTTGAAGACGACTTTTTGTGGAACAAATAGTGGAAAATTCCACCATATGGGTCATTTTAGGAATATTACAATATTCTGAATTTATATACCAGTGTTGAATGCAAAGTTCCATTTTATGAAAATTAAATGGATAATTTATTCAGGAATTATATACTGTAATTATATACATACATACATACAGTGTTCTGAATTTATAAGCCAGTGTTGATTTCTATTTTATGGAAAATTATTGGAGATAATGTTCAGGAATTCATGGAGACAGATTTCCATTGTATGGTAATTCAAATGACTGAGTATTCCAGTCTTACAGTAAATGTCCATTGTATGGAAATTCAAAGGGCTGCGATTGTTTTCCCAGTTCCCCCCGGATTTATGTGCTGCCCGCTCTACGGTCGTCTCTGCTGCTGCTGGTGTGCTGCGGAAAACGTCACACCTGACACAGTCTGTGTCCCAGAAACTTCCAGAGGAAACGGACTGGTCGTGGCGTTTGAGTCTGTGCGACTCCTGCTGTTATCAGTCGATAGTAAACCTGAAAAAGCGCCGCGTTCGTCCATGTGCGACGTCCTTTCCCTCGTGGGATGACCAAACAATGGGTATTAACCGTGCGCGGCTCAGATGCTGAAGCTTCAGCTCTGGTCCAGCCGGTTGACCTCATTTCGGAGCACCACCCTGCCCTTTCCCAGGGCACCCGAACACTTTAGCTTAGACGAGCGGCGCCCCTTAGTGGACGCTCAGGGAAGTGCCCCGTGGCCCACTTCTGAGCTGAGTTTAATGAACTGAAACGGTTGTGCAAGAACCCACACACCATGTCCTGAATATACCAGCAGAAGTGCATCGTTTTAAAGCGATAGTTTGGCCAAAAGTCCAATCAACTTGATTTATCCCCAGCTGTGGTCAGTCAGCCAGGACAGGTTTGGTGTGTAAAGTTTGCCTCTTTAGCTTTTGCACTGGACTTTTGAAGCTAATGCAGCTAACAAGTAATGGAAGCTTATACCCCACCAATTAGCATGGTGCTAACTGCATATCTGATTCATCTCATATTAGCCTCAAACCATACGGAGATGTTCGTTAACCTCGTTAAACGTGGACGAACGTGTATTAGCATAGCTGAAAACAGTAGCGTCCAGCTTACAGCCTGATTTCTTTTCTGCCCTGCAGCTCCAGTGGTCAGTGTGAGTGACCATGCCCTCCAGCAGGACTCCGCCCACATCCCAGGCTCCGGAGAGGCCGGCCATGACGCCGCCCTGGAGCTGTCCGATTCTAAGGTGAGGATTTAATAACCCTGCTCTTCGTCCTGCTCTTCATCCTCACCTGTTCACAGGTTAGGAAGGAGAATCGAAGGAGGAAGAAGAGAAAAGCAGCTGTGTATCTGTGATTTCTGCGTTTTTTACATTTCATTTTGTTTTATATATCAGCTGTGTTATTAACCCCTTAAACTACAGGGTTATTATTCAGTTATTAACTCACTCGGCAGCTAAATAATCAATGATTTACCGTAAGCCCACAGAGCCTGCTCTGATTGGCCTACACTTTCTGTAGGTATACTTCAGATACATCTGTCTGTACTCTTCACACAATCGCACTCACTTTCTGTTGTGTTACAGCATTACTCGTCCCATATTAACAAAACACAACTATTTAATCTGATAAATAATAAACAAAAAACATGGTTAATCCTTTTTTCCTCATATCTGTGCTCAGGCAAGATCAGAGAAAGTACAGGCCAGCGTTTCAGATAGGGACATCAATGAGTTAATCTTAATACTCGTTAACTCTATTAACTCTTGTAAATTATTAAGTAACCATTAGGAATTATTCCGCATCTACTATGATTTATTTTTATTATGTATTATGAATTATTCAGTATCTAATATAAAATATTCAGTATCTACTATGAATTATTCAGTATCTACTAAGATTTATTTTTATTATTTATTATGAATTATTCAGTATCTAATATAAAATATTCAGTATCTACTATGAATTATTCAGTATCTACTAAGATTTATTTTTATTATTTATTATGAATTATTCAGTATCTAATATAAAATATTCAGTATCTACTATGAATTATTCAGTATCTACTATAAATTATCCAGTATCTATTTTGAATTATTTCAGTAACTACTATGAATTATTTAGTAACTACTATGAATTACACAATATCGACTATGAGTTATTCAGTAGCTACTTTAAATTATCCAGGATCTATTAAGGATTATTTAGTAACTACTATGAATTTTTATGTACTTAATATGATTTATTCAGTTATTACTAGGGGTCATTCAGTAAGTATTATAAGTTACTCAGTAGCTACTATGAATTATCCCGAAACCTTTATAAATTATTCAGTATCTATTGTAAAATTAATGTGACAGTTCTGTAGTTGAAGTCCAGACCCTTAGAGTTTAAGGGGTTAAATTTGTTTTCAGTTTTCCTTGTTATTGAGGGTTATTTTCTATTAACGTCGGTCTTTCACATCGTCTTGGATGAACACCTGATTTTGTTGTTATTGCTTTAGTGTACGGTAAAATCTTTCTTTAGAGACTCATGATTCCCACAGCAGAGCGGATCCACTTACCTCCATTCTGTCAACAACAGGCTCTTTATTTTTGAAAGAAATCTCATCTTTTATTGGTTTGAGTCAGACTGTATCAGGCCCGCATGAAGGCAGCTCTGTCGGGTCAGGCTGGCTCGTATAATGACCCCGACGTCCAGTCTGTTCCAGCCTGCTCTGTGTCCGCCGTCTCCGACTCAGACGCGACCTTTATACGTCCTTCAAAGGGCTGCATTCAGGGCTGGTGTGAGTGATCAGTCCAGCTGGTCTTTCTCTTCTGACCCCCACTGTACCAAACAGAGGCCATTCAGAGCGACTTAAAGACGGCTTCAGAGGAGAAGACCACACATCATCCTGGAAATGTTATTTACACGGCCCCCCAACACACTCCCTCTCTCAGTTCGGCACTTACGAAGCGCTTACGAAGCGAGTGGCTGACCCTTAGAGGTCCAGTTATTATCGTCATTTTGCTATGTGTGCTGTTTACATATACACATGCTTACATATTGCATAAGTAATCACACACTTACAGTGAACTACATGTAATTAGTTACCTACAGTAACTACATCAACTTGGTCAGTAATATGAAACTAATATGCTTGAAGTTACGTGTAAAATGATTTCTGATAATCCACAACTTTATACATTTCAAATAATAAGAATATTATAAAACTGTTGTATCGATTAAAAAACTGAGCTGTAGAAGATTCAAAAATGAGAAAGATGTAGAACATAGAACATCAGGAATGAAGTAAAATTAATATCCAGAAATTTTAATAGTGGTGATCAAATCTAGAGGTAGATAACGTATCAAGGAATTATTGTAAATAGATAAAAAAAAATATCATTTATCATTTAATAACTTCTTGTATTTCCCACAATACTTGAAATATTGAATTAATCACCTTCTTATGTGAAGCTACTATTAAATAAAACATAAATTTGATTCAAGTTTTGGGTCGCAAAATTTAAGTCTGCTCTTTTTCTTGTTTTGTTGTCAGAATAAAAACATATTTTGGTAACACTTTACTGTAGGGTGCTGTTCATAAGGCTACATGACACCTACATAAGCTTTTCATGACAACTGACATAACGCTACATAAATGTTCATAAATGCTTAATCCAATAGGTTACATTTGCCAGTTTTGATCAAAGGTAGCTAAAGTAGCCTTTATGACAGATGCTGCTTATTGGAATAAGCATTTATGAACATTTATGTGGGGTTATGTCAGTTGTCATGACATGCTTATGTAGGTATCACGTAGCCTAATGAACGGCACCCTACAGTAAAGTGTTACCAATTTTTTTTGTACACTCTACAATAACCTTTCATCAAATTCAAATTATAATAAAATATTTCCTTTTCCATCTGCAAACACTGATGTGGTACAAATTGAAAGTTTATAATCTGCACTTTCCACACAATTTCTCCTCTCATTTCAATGAACTATGAGTCAGAAATAATTAATATTAATAAATATTAATGTTTATTTTATTAATTAAAATAACAGCATGACTGACGATAACTGAGACTTTTAAGGGTTAATCCAGGCTTCAGGACGGCGCCCTGTTTGGTAATGAGAGGAATGTAAACAGGCCTCTGCTGAGCTCCTGTCCGCCCAATTAGACGCTCATTAAGGCAGAAAATGGGAAAAGGCTAGCCCTGGGCTGGAGTCCAGTCTTTCTGCTGGACGTGCTGTGGGCCTCTCACGCTTTGATACTGAAATAATTGACGTTTTTAATTAACTTTTTTGATATTAGTGCTTACTCACACCCCCCCTCCTTCTCGAACCATCACTCCTCCCTAAGTGTTCCTTTCCTGCCCCCCCTAAAGCTGACCACTCCCCTCCACAATCCTCTGCTGCACTGCAACCTTTGACCTTACACTGTCTCACTGACTAATGTTGTTTTTCTCTCCTTTTCTCTTTTTCCTGGACACTCTTTTGTTTTTGTCCTGTACTGTTAATTTCTTTTTTCTGTCATGCACATGCTTTTCCTTCTTTTTATTCTCACGCTCTCCTTTCTTTTTCGTTCTTTTGCTTCCGTTTGCTCACCCCTTGCATGGCCTTATGTGGGTTGTCATGGTAACCACCCACTATTACACATGTACAGTCTCTCTTCATGTTCCCGTTTTCTCCTTCGTCGTCTTCCCTCTCCTCGCTTCCCCCGACCCTGGACACCATCTCCGAACTGGACATCCTGTCTGATATCTCCGAGGACGACCCTGACATTCCGTTCGACCCCTCTGACCCCTCTGCCTGGGCAGCCGGTGACCACGGTAACCCTGGAAACCCCGGAAATCCCAGTGACCCAGGAATCTCTGCCGACTACGCCACTTTAGCGAGCGACAGTGTGTCCGCTCCAGCAGAGGGCGCTGTTTCTGACCCCACTGAGCTCCACCCCACCCCAGGCTCCCCTGGAGCTTTCCCCAGGTTAGGTTCCGCCCTCCTGTCCTTGCTTAAGGGTCTACGGCTGCCAACTCTGCTGGACGAAGACGGCTACATCAGCCTGCCGTGCCTGCCAGAGGAGTGCAGCGCCCTGCTGCCTGAACGAGTGCAGCGCTACCTGCCCCTCTCCTCACCCTCCCTGCTGCCCTCATTCCTCCTCATCTTTGCAGTCTTCCTCTCCGCCTGCCACTCGGTGGTGCTCTCGCTGGCCCTGGCGCTGCCGCTGGCCATCTCACTGTGTTACCTGGAGCCCAAAGCCCACACCCGCTTCTGGCCTGCCGAGGTTACCGTAGAGATGACCTCTCAGGAGGAGACGTGTGACCCTGCTGCCTAGAAATACCCCTGACGTTTGCTCCCCAACCTTACCTTTCCGTAGCGCTTAATTTGTGCCTGAGCTGGCCAGAGCTCTACTGCGATTTTGAGCCATGAATTTTGAAATCACTAAATTTCACCACTTGTTGCGATTTAACAGATAAAACGAAAGTTCGTAAAACAGATGTGGTAACCAGACAGTCGGGGTAGCTACTTATTTTTGTGCCAGCTCTTTTGAGCCACCACTCAAATTTACATACGGTACGTGCAAACAAATGAATTGATCTAACAGTTTGTAGACATCTGTGTGAGCTTCGTAACACTAGCCGGATGAACCGTCCCGCCTAGTCCAATTTTTGATTCGCTGATGTGCATAAGACACACCAAAAACCATGACACGTTTAATAGCATGCATAAATCGATATAGACACAGAGTCCGGTCGTACATTTGTATTTTTATAGGCATCACAGCCACACAGTGCACTCCTAAAGTATATTAAGGTTAGTAAAACCAATACAGAATCACACCAGACTGACGTTTACCTCAATATGACTTTTTAATATTATTATTATAATAGTTTGCTGAACAGAACTGATATGACAGCTGCACCCATTGAATCCAGAGTGAACCGTAACAAATCTGTCATGAAATTGCACTCAGTCACACTGTGGTGTGATGTTGTTAGCTGTGTGGTTCTTCCTCTGGAGGTCATAGAGATAGCGAGTGACACATCAATGTACCGCTCTAGTTTACGTTCTGGTTCTCTTATTGATGATGGCGACTTTGTCCTCACCCTTGAGTGCCATTAGGTCCTGTGGGTACCAATCTTGAGCACCAAAAACCATAACCATAACCAACTGGTACCTTCAGTACCGGACCAAAGGTCAAAATGGGATAAAGTGGAATGTTTTTGGTAGGCCAAAAAAAAGACAAAACAATATATAAATAAAGTATAAAAAGTGTTTTATAACATTACACAGTATTTTCTTACTAAAATACTTAATAAATGAAAATTTAATAAGAAAATAAGAGTTTATTAAGTTGTGTTGGGCTCTGAGTAGAGGTGAAATAGCTGTAATGAAGCCTCTGGGCTATCGTTAATGACACCAGTCTGCTAAAATAGGCCTGGATGGACTCTCCAATCAACTTGAGACCTCCCTAATAATAATTCCTTGCAGCTCGTTGAGGAAATGATGTACAATCTGAGTTTAATAAGTGCTATTATTGGGCCTGTGACGTCGCGCTGCACTCCAGTACCTCAAATAAGACGTCTCGGACGACCCGCTAGCCCTTTTTTTACGAGCTCCGGCAAATTAACGGCCAAATTAAGCCCTGCGTTTATGTGCGCTCTCCTCCCTCACCGCTAACCCTGCTATCCTCACTGTATCTCTCTTTTATTTTCCCTCTCCCTCCCCCCTCCACACCAGATTTTCTGTGCTCGCTCGCCTCGGCTCAGCCTGGGGTCAGGCTCCCTTTATGTAAAATCAATTTTCCCAGCATTCCTGAGGGAGTCTATTTATAGCCCATTCCCTTCCAGTCTCCCAGCCTTATTCACACTGTTAGCGACTGTACAAACTAGAGCCGCTGTGGACGTGTCCGCCGTAAAAAAGGGTCTATAATAGCCTCTTCGTTTTGGAAATCAGTGCAGTGATAATCCTGCCAGCGCTCTTCTTTAATCTGCTTAATCCTGGGTTTGTATCCCTGCATAATTGCTCAGTCCATTTTTCTTATTATTTTGTTTTTGTTGTTTTTTTTGTTTAAAATAAAAGTCAGGTTTACTAAATGATTACCCAGATTCAGGTGGACGGGCCTATAGGACACTCTTCTTCAGGTACTTTTGTCGTACTGTCAAATCAGGGGTGTTAAAATGGGGACAGACATCGACAAAAAACAACCACATGCACAGAAAAACGTGCATCACCGCATCCACCAACCAGCATGCAGATGACACCACCCTGCCCCGCCCCCCTACACTCTGATTAGCCAATCCCTGAACTCAGGGCGTCTCACTCGTGTTCTTATTGGACAATCAGGCCTTCCCGTCATCCATTTCACCTTTTCTTTTCCCCTCTGATGATTCGTATCATTCCACCAATCAGAGTCCACAGGTGGAGGAAGGGGCGGAGCCTGGAGAGGGCGCGGCCGCTGCCGTCACAGCCGAGCCGCCGTTTGAGGTCTGCTAACCTTCCCAGCATGCACCTCTCTACTTATGCAAATGTCAGCAACAACACCGAAATACAGTGTCCAGGTGGTCGTGTTTCAGACTAACTGTTGCCTTTTTCCCTCCAATCCTGCTAACAGACTGGAAACGAAGGGGCTGATTCCTCTGACCCCAAGGTTAATGAGCTCTACTGCCTGTTGGATGGTTTAATTCATCGTTCGCTTTGATTTGTTTTGATTTATGTTGGGTGGAGATCAGTGAGGTTCCTGCATCCTTGCTGTTTTAATCATTTCCGTCTTTTGATTTGATCTCTTTGATTTCTTGGGTGTTTTTTCTTCTTTATTGTTTCTTTATTAATAGTTTCTTTATCGTGTTTTCGGTATCGTGCTGTGCTTCACTGTGATGCGCTCTTTGCAGTTGCAGAATTGAGACGGAACCTGTCCAAACCTTCAGTAGCGACTGTTCGCTAACTGCTGTGCTAATCGCTCAGCACCTGCTCAGCCGGTACAAATTCAAATCCAGTCCGGTTCAGTTCGGCCTGGCTGATAAAACAATAACGATAATCATCATTATCGGCATTTTTGATGAAATTTTAATGTCACTCAGGTCCTCAATCTATTATTTATAACTGTAGGTGGCGCTGAGTGTCTTTTACTGTTTAGACCGTTGAGTTGGCTAGAGTTAGCTAGCATCATCTATTTTCACTTAGCAGATTTAGCTGGCATTAGCTATGTTCAGTTAGCAGAGTTAGCTAGCTTTAGCTACTTTCACTTAGCAGATGTAGCTAGCATTAGCTATTTTTAATAGCAGAGTCAGCTAGTTTAGCTGTTTTCAGTTAGCAGATTTTGGCTAGTGTTAGCTAATTTCAGTTAGCAAAGTTACCTGGCGTTAGCTGTGTTTAATTAGCAGAGTTAGCTACCGCTAGCTGTGTTTAATTTGCAGCGCTAGCTGGTGTTAGCTGTGTTTAATTAGCAGCGCTAGCTGGCGTTAGCTGTGTTTAATTAGCAGAGTTAGCTACCGCTAGCTGTGTTTAATTTGCAGCGCTAGCTGGTGTTAGCTGTGTTTAATTAGCAGCGCTAGCTGCCGTTAGCTGTGTTTAATTAGCAGCGCTAGCTAGTGTTAGGCATTGAAGTGACAGAGTTATCTAGTTAGCTGTTCTGGATGAATTTCTAAATTTTAAAATCTATTTATTCTTATTATTATTTTGTATAATTATCTGCTACATTTATTGGAACATCGACTCCAAGCTTTTAAATAGTTGGTGTTTACATAACATAGTAAAAACAGCTCACTCTGCTGATGTGTGCGCTTTTATATTCATAAGCCAGCAAATTTAGGTGTATCAGACATTTATTTTCGTATTGCATGTTCTTAATAACTGGCAACAGATAGTAGATGATTAACATAATTGAATAATATGGAAAAATATATATCACTTAAATTACACCCCCTCGTTCGGTTAGTTGGTGTTGCAGGTGCTACGTAAGTGTTGTACATCACCTCCAGATTATGAGCAGCACAGCTGCTCCTGTGTTGTTGCCGCGTATGAAGGTCTGGACGGGTGTTCGGCTGCGTTTGGGTTGGATTTTTCACTGCTGGTTTGCATTTGATTGTTTTTTTTTTCTTTTTATTACCAACATTTTTGTTTGTCTGGTTTTTGTTTTTGACTCCGCAGAGCAAGCTGAGAGTGCAGGGAGAGAATATATATGTGAGACATAGCAATCTAATGCTGGAGGTTCGTATTGCCCCACGATCGGGACAAATTCAGCAAAACTGAAAAAAAAATGAAAGCAAAAAAGGAAATCTGAATGAATTTGGGCCGAGTGCTCTCGCCCTCGCTCTCTCTCTCTGGCTGCCCTTCACTCTCATTCTCCTCAGGCTGTGTGTCCTGCATGCTGTGATGGGTGCATGCTTGTGTGGATTCAGCTATAAACACAATTATGTGATCTGTAAATGGTTTTCTTTGTTTGTTTATTGCAAAAAATGTGTCGTGTTTTTTGTTGTTTTCTGACTAATATTGTTTCCTTAACCAAACAGGATTGTTTTTCTGCTTTGGTTGCTGTGATTTGCGTTCTGATCACGTGTGTCCGGTTTGGGAACTAAACGTTACTGACCCAGAGCTGATTGTGCTCAGTATGACTCAGGCACACATGCGGAGGCTAGAGAGCTGTTCGCTACAGGTGCAGAGCTCAGAAATATCAAAATATAAAATATAAAATGGTGAAAAAAGTTTCTGATTGAATTATAAATCTCTGACATCACTAACGTGGTTCAATTTTTGAGACATTATTAAATGATTCAGTGGATCATGATTGATGTCTCACCACACTCGAACCACAACAAGATTTCATTTCAATTGGTGAAAATCTGTGATACACTGCCTGGCCAAAAGTATGTGGACACCCCTCTTAACTACTCCCATTGCTAACAGGTGTATAAAATCAAGCACATAGCCTTGCAGTCTCCATAGACACACACTGGCAGTAGAATGGGTCGCACTGGAGAGCTCTGTGACATGGTGCGGTCATAGGACGCCACCTCTGCCTCAAGTCAGTTCATGAAGTTTCCGCCCTGCTGGTTTTGCCCCAGACAACTGTAAGTGCTATTATTGTGAAATGGAAGCAGCACTGGAGCAGTAGACCATGCAAACTCACATAGCGCGTAAAAATCACCATCCTCTGTTGCGTCACATCACTACTGACTTCCAAACTGTCTCTGGGTGCAACATCAGCAGAAGAACTGTGAGTCAGAAGCTTCCTGAAATGGTTCTCCATGGCTGAGCAGCTTCATACAAGCCTAAGATCACTATGTGCAAAGCCAAGTGTCGGATGGAGTGGTGTAAAGCGCCGCCACTGGACTCTGGAGCAGTGGAAACGTGTTCTGTGGAGTGACCAATCAGCTTCTCTGTCAGTCTGATGTTGAGTCTGGGTTTGGCGAATGCCAGGAGAACGTTACCTGCCTGACTGCACTGTGCCAGCTGTACAGTTTGGTGGAGGAGGGATGATGATATGGGGCTGTTTTTCAGGGGTTGGTCTAGAACCCTTAGTTCCAGTGAAGGGAAATCTTAATGACTCAGGACATTTTGGACAATTGTACACTTCCAACTTTGTGGGAACAGTTTGGGGAAGAACCTTTCCTGTTCCAGCATGACTGAGCCCCAGTGACCAAAGCAGCTCCATAAAGGCCTGACTGGGTGAGTTTGGTGTGGAAGAACTTGACTGGACCTCACAGAGCCCTGACCTCAACCCCATCAACACCTTTGGGATGAACTAGAGCGGAGACTGTTAGCCAGACCCTCTCATCCAACATCAGTGTCTGACCTCACAAACGCTCTTCTGGATGAATGGGCAGAAATTCCCACAGAAACTCTCCAGCATCTTGTAGAAGCTTCCCAGAAGAGTGGAAGCTGTTAGAGCTGTAAAGGGGGACCAACTCCATATTAATGCCTAGGGATTTAGAATGGGATGTGCAGCAAGCTCATATAGGTGTGATGGCTAAGTGTCCACATACTTTTGGCCACATTGTATATGGAAGATATAGTATATTGAGGTGTTGTGATATATTATGAACTATTCCTCTGGAAAAAAAACTTTGTTTTCCTCTTTCAACACTTTTATGACATATTCAGCAGAAACTTTTATTTATATTGTAATGTAATAATGTATAAGATTTAACAGCTTTTATCCACATCATTTCACTCCAGCAGGTACATATAATGTAATATTAAGAGGCCACTTAACTGCCTGACTTTATCAACAGTAACACTGACTGAAACCTTAAGCGGACCCAAAAGATATGGCGCCATCTTGTGGATTAAGATAGAATTGCATTTTGGTCATCTGTAAGCCTAACAATGGGCTTAATATAAATGATAATAATAATAACGCTAGAATATCAACACTTGCATGTATTGATACTGTTTAATCCACCATATTGTGATATTATACTGTGTTGATGTTTACCTCCCTCTATAATCTAAGATTTCACCACAAATTGATTAAATTCCATAACTTTGATAAGATTCAGAGTTTTATGTAATAAGTTTATTGCTGCAGATGCACCTGGAGGGACTGTTTACTCAGCAGTGGAACAACGTTTTAAAATGAACTGATTAAGTAATTATTTATTTCTTTATTTATTGGATTTCTGCATTTCTAAATAGCCTGAGAAATTCATTTTGGCCAAAAAAATGAGTTCATTGTTTATTAAATATTATTCTGATTGATCATATTTGATGCTTATATTCTAAAATCAGTGCAGGTGAATCAGTGCTTTAGATGCACATTTATCACTTTTAGAATTTACTACTGTAATTAAACTGATAGTGATTTATAGAACAGATTAAATTATAATACACTCATGAGTGTGTGTTCCTGTAGCTGCTCTCTAGCTCTGTGTGTGTGTGTGTGTGTGTGTGTGTGTTTGAGTGTGTGTGTGTGTGTGTCTGTGTGTGTGTGTGTGTGTGTGTGTGTGTGTGTGTGTGTGTGTGTGTGTTTGAGTGTGTGTGTGTGTGTGTGTGTGTGTGTGTGTGTCTGTGTGTGTGTGTGTGTGTGTTACACTGGGAAAGAACAAAACCTGTAAGCCTCGTCTCACTGCTGCTCACACACACAATCCACAGTCTCTCTCTCTCTCTCTCTCTCTCTCTCTCTCTCTCTCTCTCTCTTTTCTCTATCTCTTTTTTCTCTATCTCTCTTTTTTCTCTCTCTCCTATCTAGGATGGGACACCTATGGTGCCAAAGCTGTAAAATACACATTAAATTGAATTATTATTAAAATATACATGAATAAAAAATAAATGAGTAAAAATGAACTAATTAATTAATTTACTTAAAAACAGTGCATAAGGATAAATAATTAAAACAAAGCTATAAAGCTTGAAATATAAATATGGTGTCTTTCTCTCTCTCTCTTTTGCACTGTCTCTTCTACTTCTATCTCTCTGTCTCTCTCTTTCCTCTATGTCTCTCTCTCTGTCTCTTGTCTCTTTCTCTCTCTCCTGTCTTTCTCTATCTCGTCTATCTCACTCACATCTGTCTGTATCTCTCTTTCTGTCTCTCCTTTTTGTTTTCTCTTCTGTCTCCCTCTCTCTCTCTCCTCTATCTCTGTCTTTTTCTTTCCCTCTCTCTGTCTCTCTTTCCTATATTCTCTCTCTCTCTCTCTCTGTTTAATTGGCTGTATTCTCGTTAATGAGCAGAGTAAGGTAATTGGATTTGGAGTTCTGTTCTGCAGGAGATGTTTTTCCTCCAGTTTGGTTGAAGGGCACAATTTAGCGCTTTAATTGGCAGCTGGACGTTACAGAGCCACCTGTTGCCATGGCACCTGACTGCCCACTCGCTCCAACTACTATTTATAGTCCTTCAAATTTCCGGTATCCCGCGGCGCTCCGAGTCCCGCAGCCCTGAAACATCCTGAACTGGCTCTCATTGGAGACGTTAAGTGCAGAGACGACTGACCGAAATAATGGAGCTTATAAAAACTAAAAACAGCACGAGTCCTAAAACAACGTCATTATGAAAAGAACATTAGTGTGTTTATGCATTAGAAGACCAGCTGATCTCAGAACGTCAGGATGGGCAAAGCTGACTTACTGTGATCGTTTTGCGTTTTTGTCGTCTGTTGTAACGTTACGACAGAGTTTTTTAGGGGAAAAAGCCTTTTAGTTAAAATAAAGTTAGATGGTGGTTTGACGTCTTGGAAACAGCATCGCTGTCCAAAAAAAATCTCCAAAATGGTAACTTTATAGGAGAAGTCAAAAACTTATTACTTTCAGTGAAAGTTAATGTAATTTAAAAAGAAAAATGTTGAAAATTGAGATACAAGGTTTTGATATGCTGAATTATATGCCAGGTTAATAATATTTAATAATTAAACCAGCCATAGACAACTTTTACCTACAACCCTGACCTCTAGAGGTTGTTAGAGGGTGGTGCAGCAGGCGTTGGTGTTATTGGAGAACTTTTATCAGAGCCGTTTCTCAGAGCCAAACCAGCCTGTGCAGAGTAGAATTACAGCTCAAAAGCCTCACTGAATCTGAAAATACATGCGTACACAGTGTACAAAGCCTGCAGACAGTGGGCGGAGCCAAACCAATATGGAGAGTCTGCTAACATGTGTAACCAAAAAAGACAAAGGCCCTGTGAAGAGCCTGTTAGAGGATCATCTCCTGCTTCAGTCTCCTACAATCTGTCTGTGCTCGTCCAGCAGTGAGGCCTGGCCGTCTGCACCGTCAACCCAAGCGTTTAGGCTGTCAGCACTTTTCTGTAGCGCTTTTTAAACGGGTCACAGCACTTAAGCTGTGTTTGAGAACAAACTGGTGCTTAACAAAGCAAATAAACAGTGTTTCAATCTAAACACCTAAACGTGATCGTTTCTGAAGCGTTCTCTTCTCAGCATGGAAAACGTTTAAGAGTAAATATTAATGTTATTAAAGTTTCAAAGGCTCAGTCCCATTTCACCCCTCACCCCTACCACTTAGCCCTCCCCCTCCATTTTGCTCAGTCTTGTCCAGGGGTAGGGTGTCCTGAGATAGAGGGGTGGGGTGAAGTGTTGGGGCTACATGGCCCTCCAGACTGAGGTTTTTCAGAGACTCCAAACAGAGTGATATGAGAAAAAAAGAAAAACCGGAAAAATGAAGCACAAGTGACCAAAAAAAGTTACGATAATCATAATATTATCTTAGTTTAATGTCGTTTCAGTGTATTATGGTCCTTTTCTTCATAGCAAGCATAAAAAATCGCCAGTATTATGCCAATGTCTCAGTAGCTAAATTTTCCGTTCCACCTTAAATGGTGCAGGAGTTACATTCTGGCACCTCAGGCATCAGAACTGCTGCTCTATTTAAGGTGGAACGGGAAGATTCCAACAAGAAGCTGGTGAATATCTGACTTCATCTTCATATCACTGAAGAATTAGGGGTGGGTGATAAATAAATAAATAATTGCCCCCCTCTTTGAAGGCATATGATGCCCTAAATGTAACTAAAGCCCAGCAGTGAGGAGCTGAACTTTACCCTCCTCTGCTGTCACTGCAGACTGGCAGGGTCGCCTACAGAGCAGCGCTGGTAGCTGTTAATGAAGTGATGCTCTTTTTATTTGAGGGTCCCATTTCAGAGGGAAGATTCAACCACTACCCTGTAACTCAGTTCTAAGGGGCAAGGAGACACTCGAAAACAAGGGGTAGGGATCAAAATAAAAAAGGGGGACTGGGCCTAAACGAACAAACCCTGTTTTGAATATATATAACCCAGCCGTTATACAAAGCAGCATAGCTCAGTTATAAGAAACATTTCAGCCATAATTCCTTTTTTTAATGGGGCGCAGCCAATCAGAACAGAGCTCATTTACATAGATCAGTCTTAACGGTTGGAAAACAGTCATGTGTAAATAAATTAGAACTATTTTCTGGTACATAAATGTTCATAAATGTTATAAATAATGCTAAAAGTGTATAATACAGGCCCTTTAACGCTGATGTTTATCTGATTTCACAGTCAAGTTTGTTCTCAATATGTGATCAGCTCATTTAAAGCCTGTGACTCGCTTAACAGCTGCTACAGAAACGTGTTTAAAACCTGGACGTGTGGGTTCCCGGTTTACTCCATGAATGTGTATCTTTTGTATTCTCATACTAATGTCCTGGATGTTGGTCCCCCCCCCTCCTGTCCCTGTCCCCTGCCGCTGGGTGCTGTGGGCGCTTTAGGATCTGGATAAGACTCAGGAGGATGTTTTGAAGCATCAGGCTAGCATTAGCGAGCTAAAGCGCAGTTTTATGGAGGCGGCTCCAGAGCCTCGGCCCAGTCAGTGGGAAAAGCGTCTGACGGGCAGTCCCGCTACCAGCCTGCGGCTGCAGGCGCAAGGGGTACGTTTGTGTGCGCTTCTGCGCTGGGATACTCGCTGCAGGCCTCGCTACACCTGCATGCTGCACTCTTCCACTCTCTCTCTCTCTGTGTTCCTTCTGTCTTTTGTTGGTCTCCTAGTCTTTCTCTGGTGTTTCTGTGTGGCAGTTGGGCTCTGTTCCTCCCGGCAACGTCTTTTGGTTCAATAACGAACCTTTAAAACAACATTTTCAATATAATGTATAGGTTCTGTAACCAATTATAGCTTTTTCATTTGCTTATTCTGGAAAATATGGACAAAATGCTATAATTCAGTTACATTGCTGAATGAATTTATAGCATTACAGTCAGAGACCACCCTTCATTTATTACATTTCCAGTCAGAACAGTCATAAAGCACAAGTGATTCATTTCTCAGGGTAAGAAGATTTAACAGAAAATTGCATAGAAGCCTAAATAACTGAATGTAATCTCAGCCGTGTTCAGTCAGTGAGTCACTCTTTACCTTTATTCCAGCTTCCGTTCTTTTCAGGAGACTCACTTTCAGTTCCTCAAAGAATCTGCAGACACACCTCCAAAGTTCAGTCTTAGAAGCTGGTTGATCATTTTCAAGAGAATCTACTTGCATAAGCGTCAAATGGAAATAAGTGGAAAAGTTTCCAAAACTGGAGTTAAAAATAATTAAAAGTTCCAGAGAAAATGTGGCTCCTAACAACCACCTGGAAGAGCTGGTAGCCCCCAAAACTGCCCCCATCTGATAAACAGCACTTAAAGCTTTCATCTCTGAGAGAGAGGAGAAAATCAAGCTGCTTCAGATCTGAAAACATCCACAGGTGTTTCTGTCC